CTCCCTGGATGGGAACTTAACTGTTCTGTTCTCTATAGGCATTTCTATGAGAAGAATGTAGGCTGAGTCTCAAACAGCAGAGACTCGTTAACTTTTAGAACCCAACCCATTTGTCAGTTCAGGTAGCTGTGATCCTCTAAACGCTCCTCTGCTCCTCTGCTCTTTCTAAATCCTGGAGCACCGTCTCTTCTCTCATTTAAAAAATCCTACATATGGATAGGTTGTCTTCATTTTATTATAAAAAGAAAAGGTGATTTCCCACTGTAATTTGACCTAAATTCAATACCAATATAATGTGCTTGAAATCTTAAGTTTTCTTTTTGACTTTTATTATCCTCTAGTGTCATTACTCCCTCTAGAGGTAGAAAATATGAATGCACTACAAACCGGAATTCTGGCAGGGGTGTGAAGTAAACCAAAACGAAGGAAAAAAAGTTAACTTTCTCCTTGGGCAAGTGTTAATTTAGCTAGAAAAAAATGTGCTCACTTGAACTTTCGCAAAAAATAGTGAATTTCCTATTGTCATTCAAGTACCCAAATATGCCCATCTAATGTTTAATATAAGGATCATCTAGCCTCTCATGAGACTAGTTATGATGCATGATATCTTTTTTATTTAAAAAAAATTTTTTTCTTTTCTTGATGCAAAATATTTACATACGAGAAAAAGAATTATGGAATAGGCTCAGCCTTATCTGGGAATCTAGAACGCAGATCTGAGTCACATGAGTAGCACATATTAGGTTTAATATTCAGTTTGAAATAAAAAGGCAAAAAGCAAGGGGATAGTGCTTGTTCTTTTGTCTTGTAACAGCACAAAGTATTTGAGAGACCTAATGTTTAGATACAATGGCTCATCCGTAGACAACAGGCAGCAAGATCTAAGAGCAGCCCCTTCTAACTCACAGAGTAGGGGCTCAGACTTGTTAATTCTATTTCCTTTTCTTTTAATCCAGAGAATCTCAACTCTGGCAGCACATGACAATCACGTGGAGGGGGGGGGGTTAAAAAATTATGCTTGGGTCTCATCCCAGAAAATAAATGAGACAATCTTTCTCAGTAGACCTGAGTCTCAGTAGTTTAAAAAAGCTACTCAGCTGTGACTGTAAAACTCTTAGAAGAAAACACAGGGGAAAGCCTTCAGGACATTGCATTTGGCACTAATTTCTTGGATATGACATCAAAAGCACAGGCAACACACAAAAAAATCAGATAAGCTGAACTTCATCAAAATTAAAAACTTTTGTGCAGCAGAGAGCACGATCAAGGGAGTAAAGAGGGGCTTCCCTGGAGGTCCAGTGGTTAGGACTCCGCACTTTCACTGCCGAGGGTCGTCGGGGTTCGATCCCTCGTCGGGGAACTAAGATCCCACAAGCTGCTCGGCGTGGCCAAAACAAAAAAGTAAAGAGGCAACCCATGGGATGAGAGAAAATACTGGCAAAGCATATACCCGATAATGGATTATACTCAGAAGATACGCACATGAAAAGATGGTCAACATCACTTGTCGTTAGGAAAATGCAAGTCAAAAGCACAATGAGATACCACTTCACACCCATTAGGATGGCTATTACCGAACAACAACAACAAACAGAAAATAACAAATGTTACTGAGATTGTGGAGAAATCAGAACTCTTGGGAACTGCTGGTGGGAATGTAAAATCGTTCAGCTGCTGTGGAGAACAGTAAGGTGATTCCTCAGAAACCTAAAACTAGAATTACCATGTGATCCAGCAATTCCGCTTCTGAATCTGTAACCAAGTGAACTGAGAGCAGGGACCTGACTAGATATCTGTACACCCATGTTCACAGCAGCCTTATCCACAACAGTCAAAAGGTGGACCATGGACCCTAAACGTCCGTGGACGGATGAATGGATAAACAAAATGCAGTGTACGCTTACAACAGAATGCTACTTAGCCTTAAAAATAAAGGAAATTCTGACACGTGTTATAACATGGATGAACCTTAAGGACATTATACTAAGTGAAGTAAGCCAGACACAAAAGGACAAATATTGTATGATTCCACATACATGAGCTATGTAAGTATGAGGTATACATGAGTAGTCAAATTTATAGACTCAAAGTAGAATGGTGGGTGTCAGGGGCAGGTAGTGGAGGGATGGGCAGTTAGTGTATAATGGGTGCAGAGTTGCAGTTTCAGAAGATGAAAAGGTCCTGAGATGGACGGTGGTGTTGGCTGTACAACAACATGAATGTATTTAACACCATGGATTGTATACTTAAAAATGACTTATGGTAAATTTTGTCATGTATATTTTACCACAATTAAAAACAAAAAACAAAAAAGCCACTCAGGTGATTTAATTTGCAACCAGATCTGAGAGAGACCCAGTGTTCCAAAGACTAAGCAGACGAGCCAAAGACGGGAAAGTGTAACACATTAAAATAAGAGTATGTCCAATACAAGTAAGTATTACTGCTTTCTGAGAGGAGGAAGAGAGAAAAAATCTATAATCTGGGATGCGTGTTTATAAATTAAATCCTGTCATTTTACAAAAAAACCACATTTTTGGGGGGGGGGGGCCGTGCCGCACGGCTTGCGGGATCTTAGCTCCCCGACCAGGTATCGAACCCGCGCCCCCTGCATTGGAAGCGCAGAGCCCTAACCAGCGGACCACCAGGGAAGCCCCCATTTTACAAATATCAAAGCTGTCTATTCTCTCCTCTTGAGAAAGCATGACATCTTTACCTATTGGTCCTCTTCAGAATCTTAGTAATGTTTACATTCTTTCCACGATAACTTTATGACTGGACCTTCTAAGTAACAGACACACGACTTTTTGAGGGTTTATGGGCTAAACGCACTGTGAAAAATGCTTTATCCCTTATTTCATTTGTTCTTCAAAACCACCACTAACAAGTGGCAGGGCTGAGACTAAATGCGGGTCTGACTCTCAGCGTCTCTTTTTCCAGCCCATTACCGGAACATTATCCACATACTCCTACTTCCGTGTCACTGATGTTCTGGCCACCTTCTCCTCGACTCCTGCAGCCAAATCTGCTTTAGCTTTAAAGTCTGGTTTATCTGCCGTATGTATCATCCCGGGCCTTTCCTGAAGTCATCCAGCAGAAAGCCAGGGCTTTAATCTCTGCCTTGCTTAGGAGAAGGCTGCCCTATCACTAGCCTGTAATCTGGAGAAGATGCTGAACTAGTGTGCCTGCTGGCTCTTGTAAGACAGGTCTGGAGACACAGCAGCGCCTCTGGCCGGGGGCAGGAGGCAGTGGCTGTGGGAATTGAAAACAGGAGGAAGGAACACAAGGAACGTGAAATTCTGCTCTCGCTCTTCCCCGCCCATCGCCGTGGCCTCGGCTCAACAGCGTCTGTGCCGCGCCTGCAGAGCTACAGCTGGAAAGCGAGGGTGGCTGAAGAGAAGCTCTGACGTGAGAAGCTGAGAGAAGCAGGTGAGGACCCAGCCCTGGCAGCTGCCCTCTCCCACCCTGCTCTCCAGACATCCTCGGGCTGATGCCGGACACTCTGTGGCGAAAGAGTACAGCCTTCAATCGCTGCTTTTGCCCAGCCCCCTCCCCGAGGGGGGCCGCTGTCCTGCGATGGTGTTTGGTGAAAAGGAACTGTAGTCCTGAGCTGGCGGGTTAGTAACCCCAGAGCTCACCCACCGCCACCCTTGCAGGTGGCCACTGGGGTCCACACAGCCTTAGAAAGCGGTTCGCAACCCAGGCTGCACATCAGAATGACCCAGGAAGCTTAAGAAACTGGTGGGATCGATTTCTGGGATGGGGCTCGGAGAGTCCGTTTTTTACAAATGCCCAATGATTCTAAAGGGCAGCGAGGTGTGACACTCACTGGATTCTGGCCTGGCCTTTCTCCTTCTGCATTACTAGAGAATAACCAATAGCCAGTAAAACAAGACATCTGAGGACCACGAGTGCTTCAAGGAAGAAAAACAAACAGGCCTAGAAATTATATCAAATGCAGAAAGGATAAAAAAGATTCATGATTTAAACTTCTTACAATAATAAAAATATTCGAGTGCAAAAGAAGAAAACAAAACACAATGCAGAAACATTAGGTGTAAAGAATATAAAAAACACAATAGATGGGATAGAGAGAATTTATATATGTGAGGAATGAAGACCAGACTAAGGTAATCTCCCAGAAGGAAAAAGGAGACAAAACACCAGAAAATACAGTTATGGGAGACTAAGATCCACGTAACAGATGTCCCGAAAAAGGAAAAAAGATAGTGAGAACATAGCTGAACAAATAATGGAGATAATGTCTCCAGAATAAAGCATGATGAACAAAGCTCAGTGACAGAGCTGGCTCTCAAGTACCAAATGGGTGAGAAAGGAAAAACCGGCACCCAGCAACACTGGAGTAAAATTTAAATATCAAGGACAAAAGATTTTCAGTAGAATGCTTCGCACAAAGCAGACATGTAATAAGCGCTTATAAAAAACACCAACAAAAGCATGAAATAAAGACATCATCAAATCTTTGTGAGGCAGTTATTATTCTAGGGAAAAAACCCAACATGTTTAAAATAAACGTTTATGACAAGAACACAACAAGGACATCTGAATGTTAGTCAAGTGTCCTATGGTTAAAACTGTTCCTGGACACATGCAGGTTTTATTTGTCTGTGGATTTCTATCTAGGCTGCCATTTTGAGGAATACCTAAAACCTGTTCTCAAGGTAGGCTGCAGTAAAGAGATCTCGGCTAGGCTAGGCGTGCACATGTGAAACACAACACATTCATCTTTTCAGGACACGGAATGAAAAGCCCAGAGTGTTCTGTTTATGTTTATGCAGGCCAGGAGCCGTGGAGACGAACAGGATGAAACAGGCATAGATTTAACTGCTAAGCACTTCCAGTTTTCTAATAATTGTCAAAAAACCAGGGACTTCTCATAAACATGTTCTCAAGTAAAGAAAGACCCTGTATCTTTTTTGGTCCAGATCTCTGTAACAGTCACACAAGAGGCTCATAGAAGTTCCTCAGTAATGGCTTACCTGGTCGATATTAGCATTTCTTGGAAGAAAATAAATGATATTATTAGTGATCTTCTGGGAAAGTCTGAAAATTTCAAAGGTGGACAGTAGTTAAGGAAAAGTAACAAAAACAGTAGTTAATTTCTGATCAGAGATATATTCTCCACTTACTATATCATAACCCAAATGTACTCCGATATGTAACAATACCCTCTAATGGGACCTAAAAGAGAATTAAGTAGCATACTGTCCCTGATGGGTCAGGGACTAGAGGTTAAATCTATTTATTCAATTATCCTAGTGGTAGGAAACCAAGAGCCGGAGACACACATTCTTTCTTTCGGCCACTTCCTAGGTTTTGTGACAACAGGAAGAATAGGAAAGCACGATACCGCCTCTTTCTAGTAAAGAGTAGAGACAAGTAACTCTGTCCACTGTATTTTTCTAAATTTTACTTAGCAATTTAAAACACAATTCCTGTTAGAGTCATACGAGACTCCTCTGGGGAGTAGAGATAGAGAAAGGGACAAATAAGAAATGGTATTCTTTATGAAATAAGGGTTTGCTTCAGCATCCTGGAAGAGAAACAGGGAAACTTTGGAGACACAGAGGATTCAAGTCAGTGTGAGCTGAAGAAAAGTCAGGGGATAGTCACCCAGACTCTAGGGACAAGTCTTAAGGAAAGCCCCATTTCCAGACAATAATTCCACAGAACTAATGCCTTTTAGTTCTTGTTTTGTAATGGTACAATTGGAGAGCAACCAATGGAAACATAACCTCGCAGTTACATAAATACAACGTAACTTTTGGAGATCACTCACCAGTTAATTTTTATGCAAAGCAAACTGGAATCTATCAAGTGCTATTAGCTAATAGCTCTCCTCTTCACTAATGTCTTACACACACACACACACACACAGACACACACACACACGCACCCTTCCTCTCCACAACCACTGCTTGAGGAAACTCTAAGGGCTTCCGAAGGATATCCGTCAGGGGACATCATGGTGCTGATGTCAAAGATCTCGGCGGTGGCGTAGTCTGGTCCTCCCCAAGGCGGGCTGAGAAACACGACGTCAGCCTTTAAATGAGAAGCCAGCTGCAGGAAGTCTCCACAGATGAACTCAATCTTGTCCGCTACCCCATAAATTTCTGCATTATGGCGAGCGAGATCGATCTTAACAGGATCAATATCAACGGCGATCACTAAAGTGGGAACAAGAAAGATGAGTTAAATGATGCTGATTGTTAGTTGTATAGACTAGTTCATCTTCTGAGCAGTCGGTTTATTTTCTGTGCAAGACCCTTTTTAAAAGACTTTTTAAAGGGAGATTAGGCCCATATATGAGAGAGAGAATTAAACATTTTAAACACAACTAGAAAGATTCACTTGTGTGGTACCAAGAAAATGTGACTGAAGGGTGTGGCCTTCAGAGCTGCCTCAGTCAGTCAGCCCGCTGGGCCGAGGCAAGTGGTGACGGTGGCCGCCCAGCACGCACTGAACCCGGTCTGTGGTCAACACCGTGCTCTGTGCTGTGGACAGCCGAGTGGCAAACACTTGGGAAGGTGATGGCTGCATGGAAAGCCTATAAAAGATTTCAGACAAGACCGATTTCCTCAAAATGAGGCAACTTCCAAAGGAAGCCAAATTTGACAACTTCTACCGAAAGGCAAAATAAAACACATTTTGACAACCCGATATAGCCAACTTACAAAGAAGAGCTGTGAAAACATCTGCTGGTGACGTTTAATGAGACATTTTAGGTAGAGGGAACAGATGTTACGTTTTCACCACAAGGGCTTTCATTTAATTTACTGCAATTTCGTAATTAGCAGCACAAACCTGAGTCAATTCTGGCTCGCTCGTGTCTTGCGGTAAATTCCTCAAGTGCACCTGTACGTGCGCCAGGATGTTAGTGGCAATATTTTATACCTGCAAGGGCTAAGTGGCATCCTGATACATACACCATGGTGGTCAAGGAAGCAACTGCCTTCCAGAAAATACTGGTTTCAAAATTTGTTAATGCTTTTGAGAAATAATGCACTAAGTAAATCACTTGAACAATGAATATAAGCACCAGTCATGTTGCAAAATCATGCATCTGCAACACTATTTTCTGTTTTTAAAAAAAAAATTCCTACTTATAAAAGAGAAAAATGTCCTTTTTAGCTGCTTAATCTGCTACATTTATAGTATAGAGACAGATGCAAAGATATACTGACAATAGCAAAAATTCAACAGAAAAAAATGACTTTCAACACCAAATGTATTCAGTTAGTTGTCAAGTTTTCATCTGCGCTCCCCTCGGAGGCCGTCTTTGTTGTCAGGCCTAAGAGAGTGCAAGCAACTCAATCTAGCACGTGAAGGAAGTGCTGACAAATGCTGGTAGATACTACATAGAACTGTGCTGTCCAATAATGGTAGCCACTAGCCACATGTGGATATTACCTTTAAATCGATTCCAATTAAATACTATTAAGAATTTAGATCCTCAGTCACGCTGCCAAATTTCAAATGCTCGATAGCCACATGTTGCTAGTGGCTACCATGCTGGACAGTGCAGATACATTTCCATTATTACAGAAAGTCCTAATGGGCAGACCTGATACAGAGCCACTGGAATTCATATAAAGGGGGAAAAAAAACTTGAACAGCAAAATGCAAACTCTGGGAATTCTCTGTGGGTGGAAATCGGTCTGACACAAAGGGATCGTGCCGACTGCACACGCCATTTTCTCATGTGTATGCACACACGCCCCGTGCATGTGTACGGCTGACCCTTGAACAACACGGGCTGCAACTGCACAGGTCCACTTATAGGTGGTTTTCTCTTACTAGATGTGTAGGACAGGACCACGTGATCTGCGGGGGGTTGAATCTGCGGATGCAGAACATCAGGTACAGAGAGCCGACCATATGTTAAGCTCGGATCTCTGACATGGGGGCGGGCAGTGTCAGTGCCCCTAAGCCCTGCGTTGTTCAAGGGTCAAGTGTGTGTGTGTGTGTGTGTGTGTGTGTGTGTGTGTAAAGAGTAACTGATTACATGCCTATGTGTACACACTACTGTACTTTGAACTCCCTGCCCCAGTGGAGTCAGCTCGCCCACACTAGGACAGACCCACCACGACTGTCAGAGCATCCGTGAGCTCCTACAGCTTCAGGCAGAAGGTCCCGGGACACCACGCTATGAACACACTGAGGACTCCTGAGCTTCCAGCTCACAGGCTGCACCCAGCAGGGGTGGAGTCTGGGTGTGCCTCCTTTTCTTTCCAGGGGCTGGAGATCTGTAGGTGTGAGTGATGGGGCTGTGACGGAGTCAGGCAGAAGCAGTCTTCTTTAGCTTGGGACCCGCATTAGACATTTTCCTTTACCAAATGTGCACTAAGTTACAGAGAGCCTTGGCAACAGACCTGTATTCGTAGAAATACAAAACTACAATATGGACTGTTTCTGTAATATTCTGAAAAAATTTCCAGATCTATCTGCTGTTTTATCAGAGGGCAGATATTTTAATTCATGTTACAGTACAATGCCAAATGAAGACAGATTTTACAACTTTTGAGGAAAAAATCATTTCCATGCAATAAACACTGATTTGAGCTCATAGGAATGGTTTATCTGGCAAAGGCAGAGAAGAACTCTAAAAGAAAGTAGTAAATTCAGGAAAAACAAGAAAGTAGCTACTATTCCAGTAAATATGAAAACAGCTTTCATCCAGACTCCTAGGACACCACACAAAGATAACAAATGTCATGATGCTCTGGAGCATCGGAGTGACTGCATAAGGGCCACAGTCCATCAGCACTGGTCTTAAAATCCATGTTGGGCTGCCTTTCATCATTTCCTAGCTCCTCTATTATGCTTTCCAGAATCATATGTTTTCCTAGTTAATATAAAGAACTTTATATAAATCAATAAGACAACTGAAATCTACTGAAATGGGAGCTTTAGATATAAAGACATTGGTGAAAAAAAGCATCTTCAGAGTATGACTTAACAGTTGCTATCTCTAAAATATCACATTATACTACATTTCAAAAAGAACTGAGAGAGAAAGGGGATATCAGATACAGAGAAGGCCAAGTAAAAGCCCTGGCTTCCCGACTCTGCTAAGTCAATTTGGGCAGACTGTCCAGTTTCATAAAGCCTTCTTTCCCCTGGGAAACAGCACATGTACTGCCTACTTGACACAGCTCTTAGCAGATATATACTGATATATCAATAGTTTAACGGAGGTTTTCTTACTTGTGATTCTGAAGTCAAACAACCATGAGGACAGTCCAGTATTTAAAAGGTTCTTAGTGTCTTAGGATGTCAGAGCTGAAAGGTATCATAGAGGTTCTCTCGATTTAATGTCTCCTTTCAGTTAAGGCTGAAGGATGTCCAAGGTCAGCCAGATGGTGAGGGGCAGAGCTGGGACTCCCTGCCTACTCTTCCCTTCTTCCAAAGAACAGTCTCCCATTTTCACATTTTTAGTTTTATATAATATATGCTATAATCTTGGCTCCGCCAAGCTGTGTCTGTGTGATCTTGGGCAAGTTACTTCATCTTTTATTTCCTGGTTTATTTGTGAAACACAGACAGTAGTAAAAGATACATATCACAAGATCATTGACTAAATAAATACATATTAAGCACTTAAACCAGTATACAAAGTGTATGCTTAATATATGTTAAGTATTATTGTTAAATATTTGGCATTAAATTATCAATTATTAAATCTCAGTAGAGACAGGCTGAAGCAAAATGAAGCCTTTCCTGAATAAAGCGAAATTAATTAATGAATAAACTGCTGATGACCACTTACCTCTCTTTCCTGTTAAGGCAAACTGAATGGTATTTCCTCCAACTCCACAAAATGCGTCGACTACGGTGTCACACTGGAAGGACTGGCTGACCCTGCCGGCAATGTGCTCAGCGATCTTCTCGGGTGTAACTGAAAACCAGCCCTCTGCGAAGGGAGAGGGTTTCTGTTATGACGTTCAATGGCAAGAAGCCAAGCCAAACACAAACATAGCAAACGTTACTATATACTAAATGCTTAAAAGAAAATACTTAAGTTTCTCTTTTCAAAAAATTATATATTATCTAGTTTGAAGGAAAAGGTCTAAGGATCTTGTTATAAAAGGGGCAGAGTATCATTCCCAGACCCAATTTCCACAGAAACAACCACCTCAATTCTTGCCTGATTCTTTTGCAATGTCCCTCCGACAACTGAACGCAATTCTGATTTTTCTGTCTGAAGTATTAACAACTGACTACCTATGATGGAAAATGGAAAGTTAGCTATTTTAATTGACCAACTCCCCAAACTCCACCGAGGTTCCTAATTATTTAATTCCTGAAGGGGAAGCAGTGAACTGCATCTGTACGGGACACTTAGCAAAACCTGCACGTGTCTAAAGGGTCAGAAAAGCAAGGAAGTGACAGCAAGACTGCAGAGCTGTAGGCTCAGCAGCACCTTCATCATTTTCAGAAATGAGGTCCCATGTCCACTCCACAGAACAAAAGGACACTGCCCTCCTTCTTTCCCAATAGAAGGAATTTACGTTTTTCAGAAAGATATTTCTCGAACAAAATGATCCCCCAATTTTCCTGTTCCCTTTTCTTCATCAAAACTTTAAATGGGGCTTCCCTGGTGGCGCGGTGGTTGGGAGTCCGCCTGCCGATGCAGGGGACACGGGTTCGTGCCCCGGTCCGGGAAGATCCCACGTGCCGCGGAGCGGCTGGCTCCGTGAGCCATGGCAACTGAGCCTGCGCGTCCGGAGCCGCAACGGGAGAGGCCACGACAGTGAGAGGCCCGCGGACCGAAAAAAAAAAAAAAAAAAAAACAAAAAACTTTAAATGGCTCCTCATTGCTGGAGGAATACAAACATAAACTCCTTTTATAGAATTAAAAGCTTTTCTCCAGTCTTATTTCCCCAACAAACTCTTATGTACTCTCCCTGATACAAAACATTTTACAAATAACTTTAAGAGGCTCAGAGAAGCTCTGAAACTCCACACAGATCAATACCTCCTGATTTGGACAGTTAATAAAGACCAATGTTTAGGTATAGCCCCAGCATGAAAGCAAGCCTCGGTTTGTGCAACTGAGTTTAAGTTAGCCCTTCAAGGTCACGGTAGGAAAACTTGAGAAAGAATTCAAACTTTCCAGGGTTAATTCATTCACTTACATCTTTCTGCACATCAGATGTTCTGTTTAATAATCTATCAATTGCCTTTGCTACTTATCCTAAGATGCAAAAAATACAGATTAAACCTGACTCTGAAGCTTAAAAAACACATATGTACCCAGATTGAGAGACACTGTAGAAAATAACTGGCAGCTGTTCTCTGGAAAATGTCAAAGTCATGAAAGACAAAGAAGCTCAGGAACTATCCCAGATTAAGGGAAACTAAAGGAACATGAAAATAAATGTAATACCTGACCCTATACTGGAAGAAAAAGAATGCTATAAATTGATGAAACTAGAGTACTGATGTGTTGATTATGATATTGTAACAATGTGAAATTTGTAACTTTATCATTGTCACATAAAAATATCACTGTTCTTAGAAAATACACACCAAAGCACTAAGGGGTGGGGGCCACTGGATCAGAAAACATACGTACATACATGCATACAGAGAATGACAGAGCAAATGTGGCAAAATGTTAAAAATAGCTCAATCTGAATAAAGGGGTATGAAAATTTCTTCCTGTTCTTGCAACTTTTCTATGAGTTTGAAATTATTTCAAAATGGAGTTAAAAATTACATGTATATACCTTACCTCTGTCTAATTTAATCCCGTCGTCAAAGCGGGAGAAGAGCCTGTATCTCTGGGCCCAGTACTTTGCCAGCTCGGGCACAGCAGTGATCTCAGGAGGCAGAAGACCGACTCCCTTTCTGTTCTTGCTTTTCTTCCTCTTCTTTTTATTTTCAGCTACAATAAAAGAAGAGAAATAATACAGATGCTCACTATAGAAAGAGGAAATCACAGGTGAATTTATCTAAAGTGTGGCCACGGCAAATAACTACACTTTGGGACTGTGCTCCAGCACATGTATGCAGCCACACGCCGGAGGGTGGAGGCTATCTGGAAACAGCACTGGCTTCAGGTTATAGCCTCCATTTTGCCTCTTCTCGGCTCCTCGAGCTTGGAAAAGTAACCCAGGCTCTCTAAGTTCCCATTTTTAATTCCTCAAAAAGAATGAATGAATGGGTAGTATTTTAGCTACTTACTTCACAGGATTGTTAGATGTGGAGAGGTACAATTATAGGTATAAAAGTTATTACACAAGTGTTTCTTAGATAAAGTTGCTTTAGTGGTTGAATTATGGAAATTCAAGCATTTCCCTTCCCTTCTTTAAAACAAAAGCTCCCAAGGACTGATTAAGCTCTAACTCTCAGCCACATCAATCCTCTGAACCTAGCCATGACCTACAAGTCCTACAGCCTCTGAGAAATTGAAACAGGGGTCACTAGCTCCATTCAATAGAAAAGGATCTCATTCATTCACATTGACTTTTTCTTAGATAAATGATTTTTATTTGTTTGGTTATTTGGTTTCAGTTCTGAGCAGATTAGATGCAGCAACTTAGAAAGACAGGAGTGCTGTCATACCTAAGTATGATGACAAGAATTGATGCTGACAAATACTAAACATTAAAGTAAACACTGAAATGGTCCTCAAACAAAGGACTGTGTCCTAATATGGTCATCTGATCACTGCAAATAGCAAAAGGTGCCATCAATATCAAGGTGCAGTGAGTTTCTCAAGAGAGGAGACACTAAGATTTTTGAGTCAAAAACTCCTTATTGTGCAAGACCATCCTGTATAGGACTTAACATTAAGTAATCTAAAGTACGAAATGCCAGAATCCCCCAGATCGACCTAACCCATCTTCCAAATACCTGAGACGGTGGTATCACCCCAGGTGAGAACACCAGCCTCGTGACAAGTGGTGGTTAGGGAGCTAGGGCAGGGTGGAAAAATGGGATTTAGAAATCACACAACTTGGTACCAAGTTCTAGCTTTGCCACTTACTGGCTGGGTGATGTCGGGCAAATTTCTTATTTTCTCTAAGCTTTACTTATCTATAGAAGAGGGATAATTTCACCTATCTCAATGGGCTATCTTACAGATTAAAGGAGAATAAGGATTCTCATTTCAGAACTCTGCAAGTGCCACGTGAACATCAGCTGTACAATGGCAATAAAAATATTAAACTACTTTAAGTATGCTGTTTAGAAAGGCAAAGAAATATATAATACAAAGATCACAGGTTTACACACACACACACACACACACACGGAAAAAAAAATCAAGATTCAAATAAGGCATTTTGCTCAATACTAAATAAGAAAGCATCACAAGTATAATTGTTTCATTAGGGCAAGTCTGAAATAATTCATCAGTAAAAATGAATGCTATGTCAAATGAAAATTTCTGCCTTATAAAAGCCATAATGTTCCACTGAGTATAACTGTTATAAAATAAAGTCAAATACTACAAAAGGGCATAAAGTGAAAATGCTACACTGTTCTTCATTTATCATAGCCAACTACTGTAAATCCTTTTTTATGTCAACGTACCATCTAAAAAACAAACATCACTACCAGCCACCATCACCACAGAAAAACAACAAGAACAAAACAATTATCCAAAAGAAAATCAGGGCAATACTAGATTTCAACAGGAATCAAAGGGCCTGGCACCTTTAGCCCGCAGAACAGAGTGGTGGCGGCAGAGACCAGTCTTAATGGCACAGATGGAGGGGCTCAAACAGCTTCCCCTACTCTTTAGCCTTTTATTTTATCATATGCTTGTTCAGCCAAGGATGCTCTGGGTGCGAAATCACGGCCATTAGCACATTTACACTAAATATGCCTTCTTTCAACTTAGGAATAAACAGCAGTGAATCCTTAGGTAGAGATGATTCGTAAGTGCTAACGAGGGAAAAACATACTTAAAACAAGGAATTGAGGTCCGTTAGCAAGCGGGAGCACATTTAGCCTCACCTTCGGCTTCTACCTGAAGACGGTCTGGTGCAGCCTGGGCGGGGCAGTCCCTCTCGTCTGGCACTGCTGCTTCTGTGCTGTCCCTGTCAGTTTTCTCTGTTCCCACTTCCCCAGCTGGAGACGTGGCACGACGCTTTCCAGGTTCCGGCTCACTCGTCTCCGGTGGGTCATCCCCTTTTTCAACAGACACTCCTTGTTCCTCTGAACCACTGCTTGTGCAAGTATCTTGCACGTTGTTATGAGAAACTGACTCCTGTGATGCTTCGTCATCCATTGGTTCATTAACCCATTTTAGGAATTTTTCTACCTGAAATTTTAAGATGTTACAAGCATGAATTAATTCGCAATTACACAGAATATTTCCACCTGCTTTACCATTTGTGACTTGACAAGCTGTGTCACAGCATTAGCTCTGATAAGTACACTGTATCATACAAGCTAATGTAAATAAGTAATTCCAACCTAATTACACTTTGTTGTCTGGAGGTACCACGACCTTATTAAAGAGCTCTTTAAAAGGAAGAAAACCCATCAGCTTAAACACAAGACTGACCTTCCTGTTAGCAATTAACACTAAGAGGATAAAGCTCTACCGTGCCAGTAACTTTCCATTAAGTCTGCTAACATTATAACCGTAATATATATTACCATTACAAATGTACTTACATGTTGTTGAGCCATTGCTTTTAGCTTTTCAAATTAAATAGAATTTTCTGTAATGGCCCCAGCTATACAATCTATGTTGAATGGTACTCGGCATCAAAGATGAACGCTACAAAGATTTAGTGCCCATCTGTAAAAGCAGTGCTATCTTGGAAAGAATGCGAGCTGCCTTCTAACAAAGAAGTAGAGCCAGTAAAATGAGTCCTAAGAACTAAGTTTCTTCTCTGAAACGTTAACAAGGCTCCAGGTCAGATGACACATACTTCCTTGCAATCTTCTGTAACAAGAATATGCTTCATAATAGATCTCCATGACCTTCCTGAGAGTCAGGAAGTGAGAACAAGAGTAACAGAAGATGGCCATGGACCACGGCCCAGAATCTTCCTTTGAGGGGACTGCGCCTATACATCAATCGGACGCCTGAGAACACAACAGTCACATTAACTTTCTTCCTCGGCAATTACGTGGCAGTTATGTTTCTGCTCTTCAGCTACAGATGAATGTTATGGGAATTATCACACCCAACACCTTATAAAAAGGCCCGTCGGACTGACTGAACTGATACTGGGAAATCTGTTCCGGATATAACCAGGGCCACTAAAATATTAAAATATGACCAGTAACCAAGCAATCTGAAATATAATAAAAATGAAACCAGCTATAAATCTGTAGCATGTTTTGGAAAAACGGTGACGTTAAGGAAGGATAATGTACCCTAAGGGTAAACCAAAGTCATCCCGGGACCTGAGAGTCTGTTCTGTTGCTCTGTAGAGCTGCTGGAGCGGGTGACAGACAGAAAATTCTGCTCTCACTGGATGGCGCTTTTTTCCTATAGTGAAGAAGGGTCACTCATCAAATTCCAATTGCTTTTGTTTCCCAGGCACACAGAAGGCAGGTACAACAAAGTCTGAGAGACGGATATAAATACTCCAGCTAACGACGTGAGTCACTAAATTAGCCTTGAGGCTCATGCCATTTGGATGAACTTGTTAGTGCAAAGTCTGATCGATCACCTCTAGACGACCTCAAGATTAAGCCTTTCAGTAAACACCGCGTCAGAAATTGGACTTCCAGGGTCCTACTTAGCCTGAAACAGACGAGCTGTTACTACACACAAGGCGATTCTACCTATCTATTGTTCCACACACTACTCCTACGTAGCTTTCAAAACATCCCCCTCTCATATCAGCCCCAATTACCCTTTTTACAAATTTAGTTCACACAGTATAAGCCTTTAGGAAGCAAATGGAAAAGAATTTTAGGTACCTTTATATCTGGGTAGAAACAGGGTTCCTGTTTGCAAACAGAAACTTTAAGGAGTCAAAGGTCACAAAAATGAGACTCGATTTGTAAATATAAAGCAAAGTTTATACATACCTTACTCAAAGTTTTGCTTTTCTTGAAAAGAGTTTTTCCTGGCTCCTCAGTGAAGATGTGTTTGTTTTTCATATTGATTTGTCTTCTCATGTCCAAGTACTTTGACTTGGACTTCACATTCTTGTGTAGGTACCTGACCCTGCGGTGACTGAAATTTGAAATTCCACCATACCTGGGACCAAAGCAAAAGAAGTGGACTCAAACCTTAGGGTCTATGAATCTACTTCCTTATATGAAAAGAGAAGAAAACTAACAATTTCCACTATTTTCCTATTAGCAGCCACTATTTTAACTTCATTTTTTTTAATTATGGAAATTATGAAATAAAGTGAAAAATGCAGAGGACTTTTTAAGGTCTAGCTTGTATGTTAATTCCCAAGTAAATGTGAAACACCAAAGGTGGGAATATCAACATATCTTACAGATAACAGAAAGGAGAAATTACATTGTAAAATGTAATAAAAAAAAAAACAAACAGCAGGAAACTATAACCCCAATGCATGTTGGGGAAATATCATTTTTTTCTCACAGTGAGGTGATGCCAAAGCTCTTTTAACACATATCTGGATATGTTCAAATTGTCTTAAAAGTGGCCACTAGATTCTTAAATCAATATGAACTAACCGAAGAAGCAAAACCCCCATTACTAAAATAACTAGAGAACCTGCTGATCTAACCATCTGAATTTTTCCAGTCCTAAAAGATATATGTCTGCTATGAAGCCTTCGTTGACTCTATTAAGGCTCACTAATCGTCTCTCTTACAGACTATTAGGGGCCCAGAGTGTAATATATAATTTAGCACCTTATAAACAAACTCTGAACAGTTTGGTTTTAAATGTCAGTTGTTATCTTCTACCTGTATTATAAACTTCTTTATAAAAAGTGTATCTTATCCTTCTCTTTTAAGTGAAACTGGGTGCTCTAAAATAGAAGAATAGTTAAATCCCAGGTAACAGAATAAACCTCTCTGAGTATATACCAGCAAGAGCTACCCAAGTAATTTCTCAATAAAATTACATGTGGGTAGAAATAAATTCTGCCAGGGATTTAAATGTGGCAGTTATCAGGAAAACCCTTTATATTATTACCTTTTATGAACTCTAGCCTTAAATGACTATATGGCTGAAGTACACAGAAATGATTACAATTTTGTAGAATAAAAACATTGGCTTGCTATGGAGTGCAACTGAGTTAATACATGTGAATATAGCAAACGTACAGTGAGAGCTCTACAGTTCTTACTAGCAAGAGAGGTTAGTGTTTTAATTGTGACACCTCAAATGTTATGAAATACATCACCATTATTCGCTATCTGAATATCAGAGAGCTTTAGGATAGCTGAAGTGGTTAAGATTTCTGGAAGACAACGGCATTTATGGAAAATTACTTTTGTCCTGAGCCATGCTTGAATCCTAGAAGGGAACCGTCGACATCAAAGTCTGAATCCGGGTTTTCATCGATGTCCAGTTCATGGCTAAACAAATAAACAAAGCCAACAGTGATAAGCCATTATCTCCAGAGCCCACCAGTTTAGGCAAGTATTAAAAGGTACATACAGTCAACCCACGCAAACTTTCCCACCGCAACAATCAACCACAGTTCACAAACCCAGGAAGACAGGACGAAGAGTACTTGACTCAGGATTTTGCAAATGAGATAAATTCCCTAGCAGTGCTCGGGACACAGTAATAAGCACTCAAATCTTAAACCATGTCAAGTAGCATCTCTATTCCTGAACAAATATAAATTTCCCCATTTTCTTTTGGGAAAACACCAGTTAACCTGCAGCCTTAACTAATCTCCTAGGTGATATCTCTAGAGGTTTTCCTTAAAAACAAACAAGGAAACATTTGAGAAGTATCAACCCAACCAAGAAAATTACAAAAGAGAAAATATCGTTAAGAAGGTTGTGATAAAAGGAACTCAGTAATCCCCATCTTTGGGGGATACCTTCTAGTGATCCCTACTACCTGGGCGACAGCAACAAATGCAAACGATGAGAAATAACTTGCAAATTACGTTAAGCTCACTGAACATGTATGGAGGACCCACAAGAACGTACAAGGGCCCGAGAATATCAGTACACACAGAGTCTCTGCCTCTAGGGACTAGTAGGAACCAGGGGAGTTAACAAGCAACATATACCGTTTGGAAGGAACATGGCAGAGGCCCGCTTTTATGTACTAAGCTACTGAGCCCCTAAAGCTCGCTGACACGTTCTGCACAGAGACGTCGTGTGCGACTTGCCTCCGCTTGAGTTTGCACGGCTTCTGTTCAGGCGGATCTTCGCCGCTCTCATCTCCATCCGTGCCGACGAGGCGTGGTCTGTCTGTGACTGTGTTTGCTTCTGATGACTCTTGTGAATCTAAAGAGGTAGAGGTACTGCAGTTGATTTCCGCCCTTGGTTTGACAACTCTTCTGTCATTTGCAAAGGCAATCAAAGCATTCCGGGGCCTCTCCTGCAATGAACTGTATGCTAGACCACATCTATCTATTCCACGCATCTACATGCAGAGTGTGCAGCTCGGTCTATTCAAGTCTAAAAGTTTCCATGACCTAGCTACTTAGAAAGTGGACTACAGAGACTTCCCTGGTGGCCTTGCGGTTAAGACTCGGCGCTTTCATGCCTTCACTGCTGCGGTCCGGGTTCGATCCCTGGTTGGGGAATTAAGATCCCGCAAGCATTGAGGTGCGGCAAAAAAAAAAAAAAAAAGTGAACTATAAAACTACTTTTTCCTCACAGCTGTCTAAATCTATACAAATTAATCCACAAAGTTACCTCTGTGATAGCTGTTAGCTACCACATTTTGATGGGATTCTAATCTAAATGACTCTAAAAATGGCATGGTCACATTTGATTAAAAATAACTTCTCTTTATTAAGAAGCAAATGCATCTAACTGCCTCTAATATAGCTCTTAAAGTAATAATGGAAGTAGCAAACACCACCATTTAAAAAGAGTGATTATAACCTGCGGTGGCTCCGCTGAGGCACGTGTCCGTGTTCTGTATTCCTTCGGACTGGAGCAAGGTGGCTGGGTGGGGCCAGAAGTGGAGAGGGGTCTACCCTGGAGACAGTGGGAGCTCTAGTGTGCGAGGACAGGCTACTTCAGGAGACCCCAGCCGCAAACAGTAGAACACATACGTATGGAGAGATGCAGCGTATGCCTTACGTTTTGGTCTCAAGGAGGATCCTAAACAAGTCAAAGCCTGGAATTCTCAAATTGATCCCGAGGGCGGTCACACTGGAGCCAACTGCAGAAACGTCTAATTACATACCTCACTAAGGGAACACGCAACGGGAGCAGTCTATACACGTGCCTGAGAAAACAGGCACACGAAGGCAGAGACTGTGAGGTTTACTGTGTCTAACAAAGGAAGCTCAGGGACGTGATCAACAGGAGGGACAGGAAGCACGTACTGACCAACATACACACTCCAAGGTTTCTGGTCAAAATAAGAACAGGACTTATCAAAAGACTAACATAAAATACCCACATTAAAAAAGGGTGAAAATAACAGCAAAATAGAAAGGAATGAGAACACCATACTGAAGTAAGCTCCATTGTAAGAGGACAGAGAAGCTCATTAGTAACCCTCTAAAGGAAACCGTAGGATGAAGTAAGATCAGTGATCTGAGAGAAGCAAAGCAAACCCACTTGTTAAGTAAAAAGCCAAAACCTATTGCTTTATATATATGAATGAGGCTGAGAAGAAAGTTGCTATGAACCAGACTTTCCCAGCACGAAACATCAAGGATGCCAAGACAACAAGTCAGTGGGCTTCAGGAGAAGTCCAGGTTATAAAAATGTCCTCCTCTCCCAGTTTTCTGCTGCACCAGTTGGTGGTCCCCTTCTCCTCACAAAAGCCTTCTTATCTGCCTGCTCTAGCTTCTCCTAGCACTCCTCTCACTGGCTTTCTTTAGTCCCGACAGTGGCACCAGTCTGCTCAACAATTATTTCTTAATCACTCAGGCAGGAGTCAACCAAGTTCCTTACCCTGGATATTTTATGAGAATCCTGAAATCAATCCGTTCAGTTACAAAATAATCTTATGCCCTGTTGAGACTCTCTATAGAGCAAGACTTCACTTGTCCCGAGCGAATTCCAGACACAACCCCCATTCAGATTTGCCTAACGGCAAATGTACGCTCACAGCTACTCTTTAGCACGTCTCCTATAAACTTAGTTGCTCCAGAGAAACTTGGACATTCCAAGCTCACTCTAAAACTAGATTTCTTAATGGATTTCCAAGTTGGAATTCACTGGCCACCAAGGTGCAAGAGGAACGAGTGATACTTTTGAGAACCCTACGCAAATATTCTTTTTATTTACATAAAAGGATAATAACTTGTGACATAAAAGTAAGACGGATAAGATCATTTCACTATTACACCATAAAACGTAGCTGGCATTATTTAACTCTACCATAAAGGATTAGTGTTAGCTATTTTGCTAAATAGACTAATTTTGGTAACCATTACTCAGCAGGATAAGTCTTGGCCAATCTTACCCTGAGCTGGTTGGCTTGTGCTTCTGTTCCCAGACAAGCTGCTTTCCTTGGTTCCTCCATTACATGGTTCACTTTGGCCCGAAGCAGGGCATTCTCTTCTGCTGTTCACTTCACTTAAACACTGATGTCCGTCACAACTCACAGAGGGATCTAATCGGCTCTGTTCTACTGCCTCTGAATTCAGGCTTATATTACTAAGTCCATCAAGAATTTCACTATGATCTTTATCACCTGGACTAGAGCTTTCGCGACCCACTGATGAAGATGCAGAAGAGAGTTCACGTGCTTTCGTGCGATTTTCGTCTTTCTTGCTGTCAGCTTCTGTTTTAGACCCACAAGCGTCTGTATCACAGCTTTGTGAAGCATCAAAAGTCCAACCCTGAGCTTCCCAATACTGAAACTGTTCCAAATAATACCAGTACAGCTGGCTATAATGCTGCTCCCATTCTGCCTTTGTATTAGGGACGTTCCAGGGCTCTGAGCACGGCGTCTGACCTGCATGCTTTTCTCGCCAGCTTTGCCACAGCAGTTCCCCCCCGTATTCCTTCCAGTACTCCTCCCAGAGCTCTGTAATTTCCAGCTTTGCAGGTAATGTATTTTCAGCAG